GCATTCCCTCCCCCTCAGAGGTATCCTCAGTGCGAGAGGATACCGCAACATCCTCTGGGAGGAGGGTTCCAACTACGGGATGGTTTCCCTCTGCTCCCATTGAATACTCTGTTCCCTTGAGACTTTCATCCTCCTTAAGAGCACTGGGGCTCTCAGACCAGAGGTGGGACAGTACTACAGTTTCCCGGAAAGTCTCATCAGCATAGCTCGCTACCTCCCTTAGCTCTTCCAGTTCAGCCCCCCTGGCCTCCAAAGCCCAAACTTGGTCTCTGAGGGTCAAGAGCTCCGGGCCACGGGTGCACACATATGCCACCCGCCCACAGGGCAGGTAATCATACATGTTACACTCGACACAATAAACAGGATAGCCCCCACTCTGCTGCTGGGCTTCTGTCTGCATTTTTCTAATGAATAAGTTTAAATATAAACTGGGATTATTTTTAAACCTCTGGAATATAGATTATTATAAGAGTCATGTTTTAAAGAAGGTCAGAAGTCACTAGTGTCCTCTAACCTCCCTCTCCAAACTCCCTGTTAGCTGTTCCTGTTCGCAAGCTCTCTGGTCGCTGAGTCACAGGATTATATAGCTCTGGTAGCCCCTCCCCCTGACTCAGGCTCAGCCAATTAACAGAGGCTTCTAGATTTCAAACCTTTTAGAAGCTCCTTCAAACCAACCAACCAACCAACCAACCAACCAGATAAACACAAGCTCAGCACACAGCAAATAACTCCCCCACACACAAACACACATTCCAGACAGCCACTTACCACAAGGATCCCGTTTTTACTCCTCCTTTACCTGGAGAACTCCCTCTCCAAACTCCCTGTTAGCTGTTCCTGTTCACTAAATATTATATGAATATTTAGTGTCAAGGTAAAGTTATACAGGCCAAGATAGATTATTAAGTTATAGTATAATTGCTATCACGTAAATTTCAGATTTACTGAGATAACAGTTGCTCCAAATTTTGCTAAGAAATGAGATTGTGAAAACAATGACCCAAAGCTTTGTATTGACTTATGCAATGTGATTTGAAAACTAGTGTGAACAGAGACATTATGGGTGCATCTAGACTGGCAAGATTTTTGCAAAAACATGCCAGCTGTCTACACTGGCTGCTTGAATTTGCGCAAGAGCGCTGACTTTGTAATGTACAAAATCAGTGCTTCTTGCGCAAATACTTTCCCGCTCCTGCTCGGGAAAAAGCCCTCTTGTGCAGGGAAGAACTGTTTTTCGCCAGTGTAGACAGGGAAGAACTGTTTTGCGCAAAAAAGCCCCTATGGCCAAAATGGCGATCAGGGCTTTCTTGCGCAGAATTGCATCTAGACTGGCCACGGATGCTTTTGCGCAAAGGCACTTGCCAATCTAGACACGCTTTTGTGGAAATACTTTTAACGGAAAAACTTTTCCGTTAAAAGTATTTCTGCAAAATCATGCCAGTCTAGACGCAGCCTATGAGTTTTATATTGGATAGGAAATGGCCATAAATTTCTTTCTAGCTACTGAGAAGTAGCTGACTCTCAGAGGGATACAGTAGGTTTGCATTACTTACCATTTTGTCTATTAATGAACTCGTTTATACTAGCATTTCATTCATTCCTAGTTAAGGACAGAAAAAGGACTTTTCTCTTAGATCTCTTTAGTTTCCTAAATTTAAAATGACTGTTGGCTCCACTTTGAAGGAATCCTGTATAAATACATCTTGAATTATCCTGCTATGAAATTTACCACCATAAACATTTCATATATATGTCTCATTTGAACTTTGTGCACTGGCATCACCTATGTTCAAGATAGGAGAAAGATTATTTTTAGCCCATGATGAGAGCCAAGAGAGTTGCCCTTGGACCTCAGAAATATATCAGAAAACAAATTTCAATGGGATGAATGTACCAGTTAAATGTCTGGCAGTGGATTGTTACATGGCAGCCACTTCATCAGTATGATTTCTTAAAATGTGGGTGTTAGGAAACCATGTTACTGGGAAAGTTTAACTACTGCATCCTGTAATTAGAGCAGTGGTTCTCAAACTTTTGAATTGGGACTCCTTTCACACTGGAAGCCTAGGAGTGCAACTCTGGCCCATCTACTTGATACATTTTTTGTACACACACAATTTTTTGCACACAGGAATTTGTGCAGACAAACCTTTGAATGCAAAACGTTCTTTAATAAGGAAATATGAAGACTGGTGATCAGGAACCATGAGAGCCTTCGGACTGTTCCTTCACGTGAATCAGGAATTGATGATCCTGATTTGCCCAACCGAGGAAGAGTTCAGAGATTAGCCTGCAGGGTCCTTGAAGAATTTACGAAACAGAATGAAAAAGGGAGAAATGTATACTACAGAATTGAGACTGAGTCAGATTCTGATCTCAAGTGCACCACTCTATACAAGGCATAACTATTCTCAACTTCAACTCTTTATTTGTACCAATGTAACTCAGATCAAAATGTAGCTCTCTGCACATAGTCCAATGACTGGAATGCCACACTGCAAATATTGATTCTATTCCCAGCTCTGTGATTGACTTGCTATATGACCTTGCACAAGTCATATAACCTCTTAGCTTCCACATCTGTAAAATGGAATAGGGCTACTTATTTATGGAAAGCACAGATGAATGTGCCAAACACTTGAAGGCTATGTCTACACCGCAGGCTTGTGCAAAAACGGCTGTTCTTGTGCAAAAACTTGCAGTGTCTACACTGCACGCTCGTTCTTGTGCAAGTAAATTTACAGTACAGCGTCAGAAAACAGAGCTTCTTCCAGAAGAGCTATTCCTCTCCCCACGAAGAATAAGCCCTCTTGCGCAGAGCTCTTCCACAAGAAGGCAGTGTAGACAGGCAACATGAATTTCTTGCGCAGAAATCCCTATGGCTAAAATGGCCATCTGAGCTTTCTTGTGCAAGCGAGTGTCCACACTGCCATGGATGCTCTTGCGCAAAAGCACATCTCTTGTGCAAAAGCACATGGCAGTGTGAACGCACTCTTGCGGAAGACCTTTTGCACAAGAACTCTTCTGCAAAACAGTTCTTGCGCAAGAAGCCTGCAGTGTAGACGTAGCCTTATTTATTTTTTACTAGCACTTTTACCTGGTGTTGCTCAGCTCATTAAGGAGGGGTTCATAGCAGGGGGATGGAGGTGGAGTAGTGCAGAATCAGGGCTAGGAGAGTGAGGAGGGGCTCAGAGCGGGGGGTTGCAGGTGTTAGGGAAGAGGGTTGGGAGGCATGTAGGGGCTCAGGGCAGGGATAGGAGTGCAGGAGGTTGGCTGATACCCAGGGATGGTCAGGCCAGTAGGAGCAGCGCTGCCTGGCTGATGGCTCCCTGGGCTGGCAAGGGCAGCAGGGGCCACACTGCCCAGGCAGTGGCTCACCAGCATGGGAATCATACCCGTATATGCTGGCCAGCAACATCCAGAGTCCCGCTCCCAGTCAGCCACTCTTTTACCAGTGTGCCCACACTCCTGTGGTGATTCTGCATAAATGTGCCTGCTAGCAGACTCTCCCTTTGCGTTTTATGGGAAACAATCACATGCCAGGCAAATCCCAATGCCCTGGCACAACTAAACCCTTACTTTGCTTTAAGTTATGATAAGAGGAATTTGTGTACCAAATTTGGTGGTCCTAGCTTTTCCATTCAGGAAGAGTTCTTGAATAGATTCATAGGCAAGTAGACAGACAGACACACAAACTCTCTCAAATACAGTAGATTAGATTTTTAAAATGCAGCTTTCAATAGCATTTGGGTGCTGAACTCCTACTGATTTCAAAAAGAGTTAAGTACCTTAGGGTATGTCTACACTACCCCCCTAGTTCGAACTAGGGGGGGTAATGTAGTCATACGGAGTTGCAAATGAAGACCGGGATTTGAATTTCCCGGGCTTCATTTGCATAAAGCCGGCCTGCGCCATTTTTAAATGCCGGCTAGGTCGAACCCCGTGCCGCTCAGCTACACGCGGCACAGACTAGCTAGTTCGAATTAGGCTTCCACGAGGCGTACAGCTAGTTCGGATTAGGCTTCCTAATCCGAACTAGCTAGTTCATGCCGCGTGTAGCCGCGTGGCACGCAGTCCGAACTAGCCGGCATTTAAAAATGGTGCCAGCCGGCTTCATGCAAATGAAGCCCGGGAAATTCAAATCCCGGGCTTCATTTCAACTCCGTATGACTACATTACCCCCCCTAGTTCGAACTAGGAGGGTAGTGTAGACATACCCCTAGATGCTCCTGAAAATGTGCCTAGCTCCATCTCTAAATGCCTAAATACCTTTGAAAATCTGGACCACTGTGCCAAAACTCCAACAGGCAAAACAGAAACAGGGTCCCAAACAATAGCAGCTGAATTCACACATGGAGAAGTTGAGCAGAATAACTTCATCAGTAGAAAATATTACAGAAAGACCTGGATATCAGAGAAACTGATTATTGGGACACATTATTGTGTGTGAGAGAGCGGAGAGACAAAAACTATGCTGTATTTAATTCACTTTGAGCATATAATAGTCAACATCATAAGTGACTGACAGGCACTTTAAAGGTAATAGAGAACAATTTAGATGTGAAATAGTTTTGTGAAGTTCAAAATTCATTAGTGTTTCATTTGTTGCGGGTTAGAACAACCTGGTTTGAAGTTATCCTTTCCACAATGGATAAGTTAGGTGAATCAGTTTTTTGTTGATGTTCAAAGAATTTAAAATTTCCAGATCTTCTTCTCTCAGACTAAAATCAAAAACCTGGTGGGGGAAATATAACAGCGATTAAAATAAAGCAGGTAAAGATAAATAATTTATTATAAATACACTATCAAATAGCAAAATCAGGTTTTATTCTATTGTTAAATAGACTAATAATATTATTAATTGAGATGAACTCATTTAATGCATATATAGGTGTCATAAGAAAGATATTCTCAAACTCACTTTTACTCCAATGATATAAATCGGTCAAGCAAAATTCTGTTAGCTTTCTCTGTCTGACAGAAAATCTAACATAGTACTGGACAGAGCATCACACCTAAACACTGAAAACTAAAGAGCAAGAATATAGTCTCAATTGAAATGATCGCTCGCAAACTGGAACTTAATTTATGTGCTAATCCAAAAGAAAGTGAACCAGAAGACAATTCCCTAGACAGAATGGACTATAATAATCATCCTCAAGATAAAATTAATGGTACAGCAGTATTTTATGATAATCTTGCTATATTTGACATTTCACATGATTAAACAAAAACACTTGCTGTGCCATTAATATAAGGCCTCCATTAAAGTATTTGGCTCTTTCTATGCCAAGGAAGTCAATTGAAGCCACAGCACAGGACTTCTATCACTGTACTGGAGATAGTGATCATCTACTCAACTTGCCATGCATCCACTTGAATAAATTACCACAAACTTCTCTGGCAGTGGTAGACTTAATTTATTTTCATGGCATGGGTCTATGCTGCAGAGAACCATTGGGGAATATAAAACTCACAGAAAAGAACTCTCCCTTCTTTCGCACCATGAAACTGGAAAAGTCAGATGAAAAAGGGAAAAAACAACAAATTATGGATTTGTTTAAGGTTCATGCATCCTCAGTGAATTTTGAAGCCTTTTGCTTAAAAACCCCATACACCTCCCTTTTACAAAAACTGGGAGAGGGAGAGCTAACCATTTATAGAACTATCATAAAGGTAACAAAGCCTTTTTTACTAACTCTGCTCATGAATTATACTCAGCCAACCTTGACTAGTCCGCCCTCAAAAATACATCAAATATGCCCCTGCAGAGGCTCATGGTACAGGCTGAGCAAGAGAGTCACTGATGGCAACATGTTAAAAGCAGTAAAACTTTGTGAAGTTGTTTGCATGGTTGACTGAGATCTGGCACATGTGGCCCTCTGGGTATTGCCGTAGGGATCTAAGGCTGGCCCTGTCTTGTCCACACTTAACAAAGACCATCTGATGTAATCACTAGTGGACATGTGTCATATAACAAATGGATAAGGGAGGTAGTCACGTTAATACTGAACCAAATTAATCTCGGGGTGTATGCTAGTTTTTATTTCAGTGGGTGATGAAGGTGCTCAGAATTTTGGAAATCTGAGCTCTTAGCTCGTAAGACCCAGTCCCTTTACATGTCATCAGTGCTGTTCTTTAATTACTTTGCAGTAGTTGTGATTATTCCTGTTTGGTGCTGAGGATGGATAAGAGGCTGTTGAATAAAAGTGGAGAGTAAAGTCATGTTTATGTCATATATAATCACATGAGCTCATTATAGGAAATATAGTACAAATGCCCCTTCAGAGGCACTGCATTACCAATGGAGGTTGAGAAATGTGTGTAAGGATTGAGTTCAGCCAAACAGTATCACAAAGTGTTAGCACTAGGTTCTAATAGGAACACTGAAGTCAGGGACATATTTCTCAGCTCTTCAAAGCACTAGGAGAAGATTTATGCACTTTGTCTTCATTAATTTCGGCAAGAGTAGACCTGTTCTACTATAGTGCTTTGAAAGAGTAGTATTACTGTTAATTGCCTTTCCTGTCAAAAAGCAGCTAACTTAAAAAAAAAAAAGGAGATGATGTTACACACAGTGCACAAGAGTGGCAGTATATGTTTCTGACTTCTTGACATTCAGGGCTTTCAATTTATAGTTATGACAGCCTGTTTTACACATTGTTCAGAAAACCAATATAGCTACTTTTAAGTGGGGAGAGATGTTAAAGAGTCTCTGATTTTACATAAACACCTCTGCAGCTTGGTCAGAAATACTTTAGGTCTGCACTTTACATAATGATCTCTTCTATTTCTCAACTACAGGGTCCGAGATGCCTTTAATCCACATAATATAAAAGTTGTCAAGAATACAGACAAACATAAACAGAAAAGGTTAAAAAAAGCCAGGCTCAAAAGATCAGACAGAAAGATACTTGGCTGAGCAGCTGCCTCGCCCTTCCCCTTCGATTTTTTCTCCTTTCCTTATTTGTTTATTTTTCTCCTTTCCTTATGAGAACATAAGAATGGCTGTACTGGGTCAGACCAAAGGTCCATCTAGCTCAGTAGCCTGTCTGCTGACAGTGGCCAGCACCAGGTTCCCCAGAGGGGGTGGACTGAAGACAATGATCAAGCGATTTGTCTCGTGCCATCCATCTCCAGCCTCTGACAAACAGAGGCCAGGGACACCATTTCTATCCCCTGGCTAATAGCCTTTTATGGACCTAACCTCCATGAAATTATCTAGCTTCTCTTTAAACTCTGTTATAGTCCTAGCCTTCACAGCCTCCTCTGGAAAGCAGTTCCACAGGATGACTATGCGCTGTGTGAAGAAGAACTTTCTTTTATTAGTTTTAAACCTGCTACCCAGTAATTTCATTTGGTGTCTTCTAGTTCTTCTATTTATTGTTTCAGATTAGTTTTCATTACTATAGCGATCAACATGTACTAGCAAAGATGACTGATCAGGCTTACATATACAGTTCTTGATTCATCAGTATTTCAAAGCAGGTGCTACTTAACTCCAACTAAAGGGGCTGACCTAGTAGCTCAGTGTGTTAATAGTATACATAAAATTGGATAACATTATTCCTGCTCCTATTGGCATGGCTGAGGACTACAGTGATCATGTGCAACAATCTTCTAAGCCCAAATGTACGTCTGTATAAAGGTGAAGATAGTTGGTGTTACTGAATCCCATACATTCTTCCTTGTGTATTTCAACCATTTTAATCACACAGGCAGATCATGTGTGTGCACATTTTGAGAAATTCTGCAAAAGCATCCCCTACCATTGCCCTTATGGGCATTGTAATAAGAGAAAATATAAAGTGAAGTGGAGTTGGCTTTCAGTTTTCATACCTTTAGTACTACATGTTTTCTTGGTAATTGAATGCAGTATACGTCTGTTTCTAGCACAAAACACAGCTACTCATATCCTGACAGCAATGCCAAATGATGTGCATTTGCTCTCTTTTCCTTCCTCACCATTTCTTATTAGACAGACAATATTTTAAAAAAATAAGAACATTAAGCATATTAGGATATTGGTGTAATTACATCTATATGGAGTTCTGATTCAAGAAAGGCTGGAAGCAGCCCATAAAATAACAAAAGTTTCCTTTTTAAACAGCATAAAGTTAGTTAAGACAAAAATGTTAAATATGAAATCAATAAGCCCAGTTCTTTCATGGTCCAACATAACTGAAGCCAAAAAGCCAAAGAGGATTTGTCCTAGTGCTCTAAATTTAAACTAACTTTGTATTAAGCTAGAGAAAATGGTTCACAAGGGAAAGCAAGCTACAGTGTATTTTATTCCCAGCAGTCAGGAGATAACAGGATTCCATTCTTATGATACTCGGTAGAATTAATGCTTCTGAAATGAAACAATGGTTGGTGATTAGTGACGGTACAACGTGCAAAACTGCATATCACTTCTCGCCTGCACGGAAGATAACGTGTCAACTTTATAACAGCATCAGGAAACCAACATAAGCTCAAAGGACTGTATGCTTGTTTTAAAATGATGCTTTTCTGCACCAAGTGAAAAACAAAATATCCTGACACCAAGGACAACCAGGTATAAGGGTAATTAGAGGAAGCAGGCTAACAATGAGTCTTTCACATACATACTATTTCTATCTGATAATTGCCATCTGAGCCTTGTGAACATGTTACCTGCAAGCGTAATGCCAACAGGAGGGACCAAACCTGGGACCTCTAGAGCTCAGTGCATGAGCCTCTACCACTTTAGGTAAAAGCCAGCTGGCTTTCAGCTAAGGCCATAGAGATCTCTGTCTCTGTCTCTGTCTCTCTCTTTAAGTGGTAAGTACCACTTCATGAGACTGTGAACCACACCCAATAGGTGTGTGGATTACACAAGCAAGGAAATATTTAATTTTTTGTACATAAACTAACCTTTACATTTAGAAGCCACAATTTTATAATCAGTATTAAATACTGTTCAAGTTACTCAGTAGACTAGTCTAGTGACTAGTTCAGATGACTTAAGAGACATACCCTGGATACGTTGATACCTCCGCCAATCCCACAATAGGAAGGCTTCTATGTGGACCCCCACCAATGGACATAACGAAAGTCTTGATTTCTACATCGACGTGCTTGAGCTGACATTATCAGCAAACAACAACATATAACATACAACCTCAGTCATGCAGAACCAATACTATACACAGCCTCAAAAACAATCCTAACATCATAATCAAAGAGGCCAACAAAGGAGGTGCTGTAGTCATCATGAACAGGACAGATTATGATCAGGAAGCGAACAGACAACTCACCAATACCAGATTCTACAGGCCTCTGTCCTGTGACCCCAGTAAGGAATACCAAAAAAACATGAAAAAACTGCTCACGAAGCTCCCTGATGCTGCTCAGGAACAAATTTACACTAACACCCCCCTAATCCCCGACCAGAAACTTTCTATCTGCTACCCAAAATACACAAACTTGGTAATCCTGGATGGCCCATCATCTCAAGCATTGTCACGCTCATCACAGCATTATCTGTCTAAATTGACTCCCTCCTCAGACCCTATGCTACCAGCACTCCTGGCTACTTCCGTGACACCACTGACTTCCTGAGGAAACTTCAAAACATCAGTAAGCTACCTGAAAATACCATCCTGGCCACTATGGACATAGAAGCCCTTTACACCAACATTCCACATGAAGAGAGATTACAGGCCATCAGGAACACCATCCCAGAAAACTATACTGCACACCTGATTACAGAGC